ATGCCAGTGCACATGTTTCAGAGATGCAAATCGAATGGGTGACAGGATGAGAAGCAAACTGTACATTATTTTCAAAACAACCAGAGTGCCCGATTTAAGAGAACTCCCAATATGTATATCAGCGCACTTTTGGACCATGCAATATTATATTATTGAGTGCACTGAACTATTACTTTCATAAAGACAGAATTAATTTTAGCCAGTGTGTACACCTTGTAGAGATGGAGTCGAAATGTTTCAAAAGATAGTCACACAATGAACTTTCATTGATGCGAACGGTGTTTTTGGTCAGTTTCCGGACACAACGTAAGTTCGTATCCGTCTGGTGACTGCCACTGCCAAAGAATTTGTTTGACCGCGCCGAGACACAGATACACCTGCCGTCCTCTCGTAGCCAATGACAAATTTCCAAGTAAACGTGCTCGCGACTACTTCCCTCCGAAAAAGTAAATGATCATCCAGCCCGACAGACATGGGGTTTTTAGCAAAATGTCACGCGTATTCTACCAACGCACCCTGAAACACTGCCTTGCATGTTCTTTTGCTAGAGTCTCGCAAATTTTGAAGGGCCTAAAATGACAGCCGCAAGTTAATAAGTCCAGTATATTGGACTTCACCGTATGAACTCTAGGAAGGGATATCTTGCACCTAGAAAGTCATAAATCATTCGTCGAACCAGTTGTCATGGAATTTCTCACCAACAGGTTTGTCTTTTGTAAAACGAACGGGGCCTAGAAGGCCCGATTTTTGTTTAATAAGATTTTGTTTAACTAAGTGTTAAATGTAGATGGTGAATGGACAGTTTTTAAATAAAATTGACTGTCTGCATTCGTTGCTAGATGAGGAACACATATCCTGAAATCAGCAAAATTGCAAACTTAGAAGCCGAAATCCCCAAACATCGTATCATCTGATATAGGGATACCCAAAAAACTGAAATTTTAGCTAAGCAAAAATTGTCCTTCGTGCATTAGCTTTACGGATATGTTCAGCTATTTCTCGTTCTAGTGAAGGCTTAAGTGATTTTCCTAAATACGTTGGCCAACGAATACGTTTTCCTTTATCGTTTTTATCTCTAAAGGGCCCAAGCATTACCAAGACTGTCGAACGTCCATAGTCTGTGTCGTAAAGTAAAGATTTCATGTTTTTTTCTCATAGAGATCATATGTACTTACATATGCTAAAATTACATGAACTCATATGCACACCATTTTTCCTAACTCAGGGAACATTAAGTGGAAATATGTAATTGATCTTCGGTTAGGGCCGAGTTAAGGTAGGGTTTTAGCGTCGAGAATCATCCAGCATAGTCTGCGCCTTTTAAGATCACGTCAGGAAAAATAAATTAACGAAGGTAAGTAATATGGCAACCATACTGAAGGCAATTGAGTCACGAGCTACATAAGAATACAGGAGAAAAAACGCTTTATTTTGAAGTCATAAATTCAAAATTTTTAGCAAAAGATGTTCTATTCACTAATGGCGGTAAACATGTAAATTGTTTATTCAAGAGTCAAAAATCAACATAAAATGAACGATTTCTATAGGGACAGTTGATGTCTTAACATTAATAGTTCTATCTCTTCACACGTAAGATAGCGCGCCAGGAAGGGCAATACAGAATCTCGATGTGTTGATGTGCGACAAGAGATAAGTCAGAAGCCGCGGCGCATCGGACAGAAAGACTTCGCAGAAATAAGATCAGAATGCAAGGGAAGGGCAACGTCATCTATAATCCGACCAGCAAACTGCTTGATCGTTTTAAGATGTCGTTGTTAGATAATATCGACTAAAATAAATAGGAAACACCAATGGTAGAATAGAGTATTCGGAGAATACTTTTAAAAATTAAACGATTTTTTTCAAGCAAGGCAGGAAAAATGACAGGAGAGCAATATAGGAAAAGAGAAAGAATGCAGGCATCTATGAATCGACAGTTTAAGGATTAAGGTCTATAGTAGAAACGTAAACGACGAATATAATGAAGATGTTTATAAATTTTATTAAATAGAGACTCAACATTCACAAAAAATGAAATATTTAATGATAAGGTAACGTCAAGTTACCTAAAAAAGAGGATATCCCCTTAGGAATGATGTCAACGGATTCAGGACTAGGAGACGGCCGCAGTCGGAAAATACACTGAACTTATTTGACTTTTGCAAAGCGACCGGGGCCTAGAAGACCCGCTTTTTGTTAAATAAATGTAGACGGTGAATTGGCAGATTTAACTAAAATGTACTGTCTGCATTCGAAGTTAGATGGGAAACACATATCTTGAAATCAGCAAAATTGCAAACTCTCAAGCCAATATCCTCAAGCATCGTACCATCTGATATGGGGATATTCTGAAAAAAACTGGAATTTTAACTGTATACCGATTACGCTTCGGGCATGAGCTTACCGAATATGTTGAGTTGTTCATCGTCTTTGTGAAGGCTTAAGTGATTTACTAAATACTCGAGTCAACAAATACGTTCTACTTACCGTACATATCTGTAAACGCTGCAAGCCTTTCTAAGAGTTATGATGGTCCAAACACGGCGTCGTAAAAAAAATATTTCTTGTTTTTTTTCTCATAGAGATCTTATGTACATAAATAAGCATCAATCACATGAACCCAAATTCGCACCATTTGTCCTATCTCGTGGAATAGTAGATGTAAAAATAAAATTTGTTCTGGAATTGGGCAGATTTTATATGGGGTAGTCAAGTCCGGAATCGTCTAGCATAGCTTAAGCATTTTAAGATCATGTGAGGGAAAATAACTTAATGAAGGTAAGTAATATGGTAACCGTACTGATGGCAATTTAATCATAGACTACATTAGTAGACAAGCGAAAAAAATCGTTTTATTTTGAAGTCATAATGTTCAGTAAAAATGGGCTTTATTCACTGTGAGTAGTAAATATATTATTCATAGCAAAAAGATTAACAGAAAAGAAACTAATGTTATGGAGATAGTACAAGTTTTATCTTCTGAATTTTTACCTCTTCACACGTAAGATTGCACGCCAGGAATGGCAATGCAGAATCTTAATTTTCCAAGTGCACCCTGAGATGATTCGGAAGCCGCGGCGCATCGGGCGGGAAAACTTCGCACAAATAAGATCCGAATGCAGGGATTGGACAAGATCATCCATAATCAGACCAGCAAAACGCCTAACCGATTAGAGCTGTCGTTGTAGGATAATATTAACTAGATAGAAATAAGAAACACCAGCGGCAGAACAGGGCATTCGGGGGACTCGTTACAAGACTTAAAGATCCTTTTAAGCAAAGCAGGAAAAATAAAAGGAGAGCAGTGTAGTATAAGAGTAAAAATGCAGGCAGTGATGAATCGCCGGACTTAGGATTGAGGTGTGTGGTAGGCACGTAAACAGCGAATGTAGTGAAGACGTTTACGAACTTTAGTAAATAGAGACGCAACATGTTGAGAAAATGAAAGATCTAAGGACAAAGTAATGCCAAGGTACCTGAAATAGGATACCTCATTAGGAACCAACCGTTCTGACGCACAGAAATTCCACTGTAAGTGCTGTGTAGCGTCGAGTTTGTCAAATATTGAAAAGTTCAATGAACCTAGTTACTGAATTGCTAAATATCATACAATTCGCTAGAAATGGCTTTTTGCGACCATATGCTTCTTACATGCCTCTTAAATCGTATACGTAATCTGCTTATTCTTATATTTGGACTGCGGTCAGGTGGGTGACAGCGACGCTAACCTTGACTCTTGTCGAATGCGATGTCCGACGAAACCGCACCCGATAAAGCCGTTTGGCCTTTTGCTTGCAAATATACATTCACTTCTTCATTGGGACAAATGGCCGACTAAAAATTGTCAGTTGCTATGGACATCTGAGTAAAATGAGTCTCATATGACGTGCAGAATCGCATTCTTATTTAAATGTCTTCTACAATCCCTTATAGGTAGATCCTACGAGTAGATATCTAGTAGGAGCTGGTGGAAAGGGCTGTCTAGTCACCCTATTTTTTCTTTTGCTGCTGTCGTTGTGGTTTATGATGATGATGTCATTGGTTTAAATCCGTGTCGGTTGTTGTGTGGACCAAGGGTGTATTAGTACGCCTAGGTGTGGACTTAGCCTGCGCCTCCCGCCACCCACCTCCGATCGTCCTGACTATATCTTGACACCGGGTCCGTGTGGGCAGTGAGAGGAGAGTGGCGGTAGACGCTGTGCAAGTCTACTACCGCTATTAGCCAGCTTAGTCACAAGTTACCGAGCCTGCTCTCACGTTGCTCCAAGGCACACAGTGGACATGGTTTGCAACGACAATCGAACTGTCGGGGCGAATGTTTGCATAGTCCTAACAGTCTTGTCAAAATATGGACTTCTCAATGCAATGATTCTTCTTTGACGTTCAAAATTCGATTCTTATTTAAATGTTTTCTCCAGACCTATATAGTCAGCTCTCATGGGTTAAAGTTAAGTTGGTTTACAGTATCCGATGACCATGCATTTACCAATAACGACAACTCATTACGCTCTTAGTCTGCACATGACAACCGTCGAGCAGTACACTCATAATTCAGTGCTCAGTCTCGACGCAGTAGTTTACGCGACAGGGTGACCCAAGCCACTACTACCATCAAGCCCCCTCCCGCATAGGAGGAGAAGATTTCGGACGCCAGTTAAGAAGATACTGTATTCTGTACAGTTAGATTGGAGGACAGGGTGGAATACGTTGGTAGCTGTATGGAAAAACGTATCCGGTGCCTCATAAGCGGTAGACGGAGCAACAGTAGGCAGTGCGTTACAGCGCCCTGAGCGATGATTGGCCGGTTTAGACATCCGTGACTGGCCGACTAACCACACTGGCTGAAGTGGGACCATGGCAGAAGCCAATACGGTAATGGAAGGTTTACTGCATTAACTTATGTAAAGCGGATTACTTGGGTGTTCTATGGGCACGATGATTGGCTCACTGTGCTTACATAAAACACAGTCTAGAGCGTCACGTACGCTAAATCGTTTGAGATGTTTCGGGAGCTTTTATTATTGACACTTGTTATAAGCGTTTCTGGAGAAGGTGAAGTCCCTTTGCAATCTGCTTATCTTGAATCTATAAAGTTTCAATTTAATTTTATATGAAGAAATACGTTTAAAATGTCCAAATCTGTCACTGCCTCCTGCTAAACAATATCACGCATCATGTTATTTATTTCAGAGTCACTGGATAATTTGCAATTCAAAAAAGACAGCGATTATTTATACATGCACAGACTTTATGACAGTATTGAGGTACGCATCGCCTCTGTGATAGATGCAATGATTTGCAATTATGGATGACCTTACAAAACCGATTTCCTTGTAGTACATATCCGTAGACGGTGTAAACATCTCCAAAGCAGGCGAAGGTTCCAATTGTGTTGCGCCAAATGACTGTTGGCAATTGATTCGCCGTAAGTTTTGTATTCCATGCTTTGCTTCACAAAATACCAACGCAATTAAAGCAGCTTAGTCTGCAAACGTGCTAATTTATATGCTTTTTCTGTAACCTTTGATTTAATAAAATAAATTCTGACATGTTTGTCATCAATGCGATCCCTGTTGCCATATATATGTAACTGCACGTCATATGCAATCAAACCACTGCGGAGTTAAAACCCACGTATCGGTAGGAGAGCTCAGAAGTCTAGACACTGCGGACACCATACTGACTTGATAAAAATGTATACAAATGTATACGCCTACTGGGAGTCGTCAAAGCATCGGCTTGTGGGGTCTGAATACTAAACAGAAAATATAATAGTAACTCAAAAAAAATCAGATTTATGTGATCATTGAGTCAAATGTTACTGGATATAAAGTGCAAAGGTTAACTGCAGTGAATCCATCGAGATATTATCGGCAGTAAGAGAAAAGAACGAAGCCAAGTTTTCTGAAAATTTAATTCTCTAGAAATGGAAGCGGTACCGATGTCATGTATGATCCAGACTTTCATAATTATAGCCCGCGTATCATATTTTATTGTACAATGAATTTCAGTTAAGTAATTGACCAATCCCTTACTTCATGCCTAACTATAAACCTTACTTTAAACCCGATTATGATCCCTAACCGCAATGCTCTACACCGTTCAACACTGATTATCGCAGACCCCCTAATAGGCATAATCATCTGCTACGGGAGCTTTTAAATTGACTAGCCATTACTGGAGTTTTTGGGATAAGTACTGACTTAGTGAATCACAGCGTCGTTTTAAAAGCTGATATCTTGACATTTATTTATTTCATTTATTTGGCGGCCTTAAGCGGGATTCTAGGCCTGCCTCCAGGCCATTAGTCATAAACCTGCACATTGTGTGGGCCAACCAGCTGCCGAAGCGATTAAATTAGACTAGAAATGACGTGGTCGGAAACCCGTTTACGTTGACCCCTGCAAACGCGCAAATTCAGTCCACGTCTGTGTTAGTCATCCCTTTTACGTATTGCGTATGTAATGACGTTGTGCTCACAGCATAATATCAGTGTGTGCAAGATAATAAGTTCGTTAAAAGTGACTAGTTGAGTGGAATGCATATTTTGGATTGCGTTCCGTTGTCTAAACAACACACTGAATTGGCGGCACATGAGGAATTATTGATAACCAGCTGATTTGCTTCTCAATCACCTTCGGCTTTAATTCGCGACCAAAATGTCTTCCTTCAAGGCGGAAGATATTTAATCGCCCTCGGCGAGCTGAAGGGCAACTACGCTGCATTCACAATGCATCCTGCGGACTCTGCTAGGCACCCTTCAGTTGCAGTTCAATACAAGAGAGCTGGTACGCCAGAATGTAAGTCAAGGAGGGCTCTTCATTTGATTCATCCCAACAGCGTGTAACTTTCTCTTTTCTGTTCATTGACCGTGTAGTTAAGCCATTGAGCAAATCATTCATTTGGCACAGTATAGACTGCAAAGTGGGCTCCTCTCCGTCGAACAGAACTAATGTCCTTGTGCTCTCGACGCCAATCCAATAAGATGTATTAGCTTTAACTTGTATTATAAATGTTTTACTTGGGCTACCTAGGGCGAGAGTTTTGATATATTTTTGGACAAACAGATAAATAAATGCTACTTTTCTGATTGTATTAGATTTGTGATCCCCTTTACAAGTGGAGTGTATGTTTTACTGCCTGCTTTAGATCCACCACTGACTAACGGAGTAATATCTGTCTTTGCAAGAGAATTCGTCGAAAATCAACGGTTTCTTCATCTTCTGCTATTTAATGCGGATATTGGGGTAAATATACAGAACAAACTTGCTTCACCATCACAATTACATTTGGGAATTCACACAAATAGGGTCCGAATCAATGCGGAATTTTGAGAAGTCTTTATTAGCACGATTTCGCAGACGTATTTCGGGTGCGTTCAGTGATCCGATCGAAATTTTGCTCTGTATGAGTTGAAATAGCCTGACTAGTCAACTAAGAAATATGTTAATTTTTAAAGCCTGTTTGTTTCTGAAGACGGTGGAGTTCTTTGCACACTGACACCTCACATGCACATCAGGCATCATCATGGAAGGTCGCCTGAGAATCCATTGCACGGCGACTGGCAGCCACGTCCTCGAAGCACCAAACATACACCTCTCACCATCGCTTCAGCTGTCCGGACTGCCCAGGCACATTAAACTATCGCATGAACCTACTAGGTTACATGCGCTTCCGTGATATCTGTGTTAAATCACCGCAGACTTTATCACATCATCGCACAATTTTTCACCAACATATGCGCCGCGTATGAACACCTCCAACATCACACACCGTAGGCACCAATTTGACACCTCACACGCAAGTAAAAAGTGTGTTCTGCAGGTCTTTGGTGCATTCAAGGTCCTAGCAGACCGTCACCTTTGTGTAAAACCCTAGTACGTTGTAAGTCATGTGATGGACACGCACAGACGGGTTTCAACTGGAATTGACTTGGACGCTCGGAAGATAAGATTTTCTGACGTACTCGAGACTATCGCTGCGTGCTACGATTCTCGATTTGTAGGGTCACCGACTTACAGTAAGTGGGCTAACTCATGATATCCCAACAGAAAATCCGAAATGAGTTTTCCTTTCGAAAAGATTAATTAAGTAGGGGTTGCCAAACAAATCATCGTGCAGCATAATTCAGTTGCCTAAGGCGGTCGGCTTTCGAAGGGACTTCTTTTTGGCTGCAGGCAAAAAGCATTTTTTCGCAACATATGACTACTTGAGTAGCGTGCATTTCCCTCATTGATTTTTCATGTCCTTAAAAATTAAATTATATTGCATAGAAAACATTGATGAAAATATTCATTCCTTTGCTTATTGGGTAGAAAATTATATTTTCCTCCAATTTTATATTAAAACTGAGGGTAGAATTTAGTTTGTTAAACGTTTCTAGCTGTGAGAATTTTTAATACCGTGAAATGGCCGTTCATAAATCGTCAAGTCTGCATTTGCAAATGTGACCTTTAAAGTTAGCAATACGGGTCTAATCCAATGCAAAATTTCATGAACCCCATACGGTCTCCTCTCAATACCGTAAAAATATGTACGTTCTTCTGAACGCGGAAAATACATAGCTTGATGGCAGGACGGATTCAAAACTATTTGGAAATTGGAAAACTTTAAAAAAACCGAATAATTCCCTTCCTTCGAATAAACAATTAATAGAAGATATAATTTCTACCGAAGGAGAGAAAGAAGAAATACCTTTATTCATGTTTTCCATGAAATATAATTGGACTTTAAGGGGCATCGAAAATCAATGAAAAGAATTCATGCTCATTAAGTAGTCATTTTTTACAGAATATAGTTTTTGCATGCAGCCGAAAGGAAGTTCATTTGGAAGCCAGCATCCTGAGGTAACTGAATTATCATAGAATTAAACTGTAGACGGGTTAGTTTCACAACCCAACTTAATTAATATTTTCGAAACGAAAACACATTTTGGAGTTTCGGTTGACATTTCATGAGTTAGTCCACATACTGTAAGACTAAGTAAGTTACGCATTCGATTTAAGAGGCATGCGCTAAGCATATTAGTAAACAAGATGCCGCGGAAAGTCAATCCTAACACAATGTATGATATTTTGCAATGCATTGATTAGGTGTTTTGAACTTTTTAATATTTAACATACTCGACACTACACAGCACTCTCAGCGGATTGCCTGTGCTCAAGAATAGTTGGTTTAAACTTTACCTCCGCATCCGTAATTTGATCTACATGTGTCCCATCAAAGCACAATAAGTTGCTTTGGCATGTTTGAAAGCAGCATAAATTGACAGTCGTTGTTTAGCACAGTCTTCAATAAACTAATCAGTACCGTGACAGTAGTCAAGTTTCTCTCACGGCGGAAGTACTCGTGCACCGAAATTTCAACAGAGATGCACAATATTATTTAGGCTAACATCGTTTGTGCTGCTTCCAACAACGTCGGCATCCTGAAATTTCATAAACACGGCTCTGCTCCCAAACTAATTTCGTGGAAAACATGCATAAAAATATTCATTTTCTTGCTAATTCGGTAGACAATCACCACTTCTTCCAATGCTATATTAGAAGGAAGGACAAAATTTGGTTTTTCAAAAGTTTTATAATTTTGAGAATTGTTAATACCGTCAAATGGCCGTTCATAGATCCGCGTGTATCTACATTTACAAATGTGGCTTTAAAATTAGCAATAAAACTCAAATTCACTGCTACATTTTATGAACCCCCTTGTAGTCTTCTCTTAATATCGCGGAGAACTGAATGGTTTTCCGTACGCTGAAAATATACGGCTTGTACTTTGGAAACCCTGAATGTGTATGTAAAATCAGGTCGGGTTCGAAATCACTCGGGAATTGGAAAACATTTTGAAAACCGAATTATACTTCTAGTATAAAATTGAAAAACGAAATAGTTTTCGACCGAATAATTGAATAGTTACGGGCACCAAAAATCAATTAATAAAAATAAATACTAATTAAATTTTATTTTTTTGCTAATTTTGGTGTTTGCGTGCAGCCGAATGAAGTCTCTTCGACAGCCGGCATCCTGAGGCAACTGAATTATCGTAGAATTATACGGCAAGATGATAAGTTTTGCAGCCCCTACTGTATTAGTCTTTTCGGAACGAAAACGAAAGTTAACAATAGGGATCTAATCCATTGTTAACTTTTATGAATTTTATAAGGTTTCCCTTTAATACTGTAGAGAAAGTTGTGGTTTTCCGTACGCAAAAAATATACGGCATGTAGTTTGAAAACTCTAAATCCATGTTTTACGGTAAGTGTAGTTCAAAATTATTGGGGAATTAAACACGTTTTTGAAAACCGAATTATACCCTTCCGTCGAGCATAAGATTTGAATAGGACGTAATTTTGTCCAAAAGGAGCAAAAGAATGAATATGTTTGCGCATGTTTTCCTTGAAATAAAGTTGGACATTTAGGGGCATGGAAAATCAATGAGGGTCCCTCATTTTGCATAAGTAGCGTTTTTTACAGAGGATAGGTTTTGCATGCAGCCGGACGGAAGTTCAATCGAAAGCCAGAATCCTGAGGTTACTGAAATATTATAGAATTATGTTGCAGGCTGACTAGCTCTCAATCCTGCTTAATTAATCTTTTCAAAATGAAAATTCGTTTCGGAATTTCGGTTGACACTTCACAAGTTAGCCCACCTACTGTATTAATCTCTGATCAAGTGCACACTTCCCAGTACGATGATACCATCCGTGTCCATGGTGATTAAACAAGGTCAAGTCAGATAACTTGACCAATTAATAAAAGTGCCGAACTGAAACATTTGAGTATGACTTAGTGTTTACCGCATGCAGTACACTTTTCCTATTTGTAGGCGCCCGTTCAAGGCGAATAATAAAATCACTTTAAAGTTGGAATATTTTAGAGAGTAGATCTGGTCGGAGGCAGTGGCTCTTTGCACCTGCTTGGAAAATCTGGTACGTGAAAACTTCGGTTTGAAGGTGAATATGTTAAAGCCACGGCGGTGGGTTCATTCGTGCAGATTATTTTAAAGAATATTTTCCAATTAACGATCCCTTTGATGTATGTGTGATGACATGCAGAACAGCCGGAGGAAAACGTCATACTGCTCACGGGACGTATGGAATCCAAAGTACGTTTGCTGGAGATAAAGTTCACGAACGGCAGAGTTGACAAACTACAGATTACTCCTTATACTAAATCTAACGCTCCGGTGCTAATGTCAACTTTCCTTGATTTCGTGAGAGCTTTCAAGGTGAAGTGAAGTGGTCTTCATATTGTGGGTGCTGGGTTTTTCGGTGACTTGATATTCAAACGTCATATAAAATATGTGGTATTGGGTACATTTTCAATATGGACGTGCTTCAAAAACCAATGGATCTTTCTGGCTTTTTATGTTTCGAAGCAATCGGAAATAATCAGGTTAGCGAACGTAAGTGATCCGTGCCCATGATCTGAGAACGGTGAAGTGCTCACTGGAATCAATGAATATTATGCATTAATGATCCGATTTTTTCCACGGGACATGTGGAATCAAAAGTACGAATTACGGAGATAAATTTCACGTCCAGCAATGTTGACGATATAACGATTACTCCTTGCACTATGTTTGTCGCGCCGGTGCTAATGTCACCTTTCGTCTTTTACGCGAATGCTTCGAAGGTGAAATGGGAGTACCTGTGGGTTGTGGGTGCTGTGTTTGTCGGTGGCACTGATTTTTAAACATTAAATAAAAATAATTGGTATTGGTACATTTGTACTATCGACCTATTGGTTCTTCTTAACGTTATATGTATCTCCGATAATTGGAGTATGATCCGTTGTTTGTGCCGCAGAGGGCCAAATGACTGAGGGATTGCGAAACTTGCGAAACCCAGTTATTAACTATCAGGGAATTAGATGATTAAAGGGATTGGCATATCGTAACATATCGTTCTAACAAACTTTGTCTTAATTTTTCTTAAAGTCCTATATGCAAATTGCTTATGTTACTGATCAGCTATCATACACCAGGTTAGAGGCGGAATCAGGACAGGAGGTAGGCCTGTGAAGTAGCCTTTTTGTATCAGGTCCACAAAATTCATTTACCAGGATTTTAACCAATGGCACCATCACCATCATCAACAAGCAGTCTTTACTCTCAGAAAAAGAGGACAAGGGCCATAGACCAGGGCCGTCTAGTGGACGTCATCTTCTTCGACTTTCAGAACGCGTTTGATAGCGTTCCTCATGGACGACTCCTTCAGAAGATTTGGGAGTGTAGAATACAGTGATGCCATAGAGCAGATGCAACGACGGGCCACAAAACTGGTGAACGGTCTCAGAACTCCGTCATACCCAGAAAGACTGATCCACTTAAATTTGTTTCCCTTATCCTATAGACGAATGAGGTGTGACCTGTTATGGACATTCCGCATTATCCACGGGCATGAATGTTCGCTCAAAACTGACGACTTCTTTGAATTCACGACCACGAGTCACCTGCGCGGTCACCCTAACAAAGTCAAGCGGGAGCGTACACGCCTAGACAATCGGACGTTTTCCTTCAGCCAGCGCGTTGTTCGACCATGGAACTCACTCCCAAGTGAAATAGGGACATCTGATACAATCGCTGTATTCAAAAGGCAGCTGGATCGTTTGATCTTTGATAAAGGACGACTTTCAAAACAGGACTATCTGCGGCCAGCCATAAATTTCATTTCTTGATTTCATCCCTTCTTAAAACATCCCTGACTTTTAATTAGATGCCTCCTCTCAAACTTTGCAAATGACTGCACTTTATGCTGATTGTATATAACTGCACTTTAAATTTCATATGTACATTAAGAAGACCGCCTGCCGCACCTTTCGCAGCAGCAGCAGAGAAACGAGGGTGCATGGGCAGCCATACATACACTCGTATAACCAGCAGGAGTTTGAGCGCATCTACCGGTAGGGAACAATGTGCCATCTCGCATCAGGCTACTTAGGCCATGGTTTACTAATGATGTAATGACAGATGTTTACACACCTTGAGCCTAGCCCTACGTGCTGAATGATTGTAAGTTGTCGATGCACCTGTTCAATCTCCTACCTTTTCACATGCACTCTCGAGGTCCCTGGAACAAACGCTTACGTACAGCTCCCTGTCCTCTCAAAATAGACTATACACTTTAGCTGCTAGGTCAGATCAGTCATATCTACTGTTAAAAATGGAGTTGCGCAGGCGGGCGGATTTTCAAATTATCCATAACAACTCCCTTCTCCATTGATTGACAGAATTCTTGCCATTAGGCAGCCAAACAACTGAACTCAAAGGTCGATCTCAAATTAAAACGAGATCATATTCCATTTTGCAGAATACTTCACTCATCTGGTCCTGCATATTTTATCGTGTCATCAATAGAAACAAATTCACTTGATCAGTACTCACTGGCATTAAGGTAAGATGTGAACCCTTGTACACGCCACCTTCCTGTGAACGGAAGGTAAACCCGATTCGGCTTCCACCTTATGCCTCATAACGTTCACCTAAATTTTCGTAGTAGAAATTGCTCCATTTGTCCGAAATACGTAAATCGAAGCATCCCTACTTCCATTGTCTACTACCACTTACTTACATTCTACTAACTACGCACACCATCCCTTTGAATAGAGCCTGTTAAACTGCATGAACTCCGTATCCATATCTACGGTCTCCACGCAGATGTTATCTCAATAACAGAAACATGGTCGTCTGACATGGTTGTTGATAGACTGCTTATGCTTCCCTGACCTTGGCTGTTTCGCAGAGACAGAGGAAATAGAAGGGGTGGTTTGTTAAGAATGGCTTGTAAGTTTTGAAAAATAAACTGCCGAATTCACCTGTAGTACGAAACATTATGGCTGACTATAAGGGCACCGGGCTCTAAAGGCCTCGATCACTTTACGGTATATCTTCCCCTGGGAAACGACCCTGACGCTGATGCCAACTTATGAATGAGCTCAGATCCGCAAGCGAAATTCAAGGAGTCAAAATAACAATATCGCAGACGCCTAGTCTTCACTAGTTTACTTAAATGAGGACTTTGTACCAGCCAACGACGCCCAAACCGCAGAAATCAGAGGAAAGCTTAACGTATACATTGCATCATAATTCGGGGTCTTCCAGAGTCCCACGCCAGTACCCCACGGACCGACTCGCTGCTGACTTAGAAATTCTTAAATAAAAAGCTGCAACAAACGGAAGATATCACATTATTCAAGGCAATTTTTTTAATAGCCGTACGAATCCTGCTCCACAGACGCCACCGCGACCTCCAAAGCCATCCTAGACAACAGCGAGCGGGCGAAACTAATCCTTTTCAGGTGTTTCCAACTGAAGCATTCATAAAAAGGAGTATTTTTGAGTTTGGGCTATCCACGAGACACCGCGAACTTGTCCTTGAATTTGGAACATGCCTCTTTTCCCTGGACCAAGCCCATTTAAATGACCACACAGATTCTCCTGAGACTGTGTCGGGGTTGTAAAAAATTCGCATGAATTCTAATATTCTTATAGACCAACGCGCAAAGTAGGCCTTCAAAAGTAAATGAATTCCGTATCCATATCTATGGCCTTAACCCACAAGTCATCTCAATAGCCGAAACATGGTTGTCCGAACAGATTGATGATAAGGGGCCCATGCTTTCTGAATTTCAACTATTCCACAGAGACTGGGAAAACGTAAGGGGTGGAGGCATAAAAACAATTATTAACAATTTCCTGTAGGTTTCAGAAAAAAACTGTCAAATTAACTTGTAGTACGGATGCCATATGACTGGCCATAAGGGCACCTGACTCTCAAAGCCTCGATATCTTGACCGCATATCTTTCCCGTTGAAATGACCCTGACGCTGATGCCCAACTGCCGAATGAGCTCGTATTATTTTCCACACGACAGAATACTCTCATCGTTGGGAACTTTAATGCACTTCACCTCGACTGGAGCTTTGCCTCCGCCGACTGCTCTGAAACAACATCCGACCAGCGGCTACTAAGTACCACCGGTAATCTGCTTCTCACCCAACACGAAATGTTTCCGACGATAGTTCGAGAGAATCAATAAATTAAATGCCTTGGCCTGGTGTTCAATAAGTTGACTGATAACACGGACGTTGTTAATTGCCTTCCCCCATTGGGTCTGAGTGACCATGCGGTTCTCATGTGGGATGACACCTTATTTTCCATGCCTGCACAACTGCTCGATTCCCAACTCAATAGTTGGCTGGGCGATTTTGTGCAGACGAAGAGTCTTTTTCATCTCCTCGACTGGGCATTCACTCTCTGGCGATATCGAGGATGTTTGGTGTCAGCTCAAAGAGATAGTTAATACTTCCATCTTCAACCACTATCCAATCCTGCGCAGAAGACTAACGGATAGACCCCGCTGGTTGACTCCGTCCTTAAGGAAGGAAGAAACCAGGAAGAGGAAGCTACGGAAAAGATCCCATTATTGACTGGGCGTCAGAATCCCCAAACAGTTATAAATTACAGAGAAACTCGGTTAACATTAGAACGACGCCAAAGTTGATCCCGAAGGTCTTAACAGTTGCATAAGGAAGATTACGCGAAACACAGATCCCAGTCCACTGGTGCGAACAGCCGATGGCACGGAAATTTCAGATGGCAAGGATAAACCTGAAGATCTCCCTCAGTTGTTTCAGTCTGTCTTACAATGGAACTCGATTATTTTTGACCCATTTATGAAGACGAATAAATGCCCATCAAAGAAACAGTCTTCTTCGATTTCGAACAGATTAAAAATGCTTTTCACCACATTGACTAGACATTCACTCTCTCCGGCGACGTCGAAGAGGTTTGGTGACAGTTCAGAGAGATAATCCACAACCTCATCTCCATCCACTGCCCAATAATGAGCAGAAGACTAACAAATAGACCCAGCTGGTTGACTCCGTCCTTACGGAAGAAAGAAAACAGGAAAAGGAAGCTACAGAATAGATCCCTTATTGACAGGACACCGGATTCACCAAGCAGTTATAATTTACAGAGAAACCCGGTCAACATTTTCATCGCAAGAGATCGGTAAGTCTTCGAGAAGGATCTCTCAAACCGCACTAAGGTTGATCCCAAAGTTCTATACAGTTACATGAGGCAGAGTGCGTGGACAACAGATCCCATTCCACCGTTGCGATCGGCCGAGGGTATGAAAATCTCAGATGACAAAGATAAGGCCGAACATCTCTCTCTCTCTCAGTTCTATCACTCCGTCGAAACGAGTGAACTCGATTTTTTCCATCCACTTCTGAAGAGGAAGAAACGTCTGCCAATGAAACAGCCTTCTCCACCGAAGGCATCCTTCAGAAAGAGTTATTAAACCTGAGGGATTCGACCTCTCCAGGCCGTGCTGCAATGTCAACCTAGTTTATGAAGGGGCTGGTCCCCGAAATGTCCAAACCGTTAGCCTTGCTCTCCGATTGCATGTCCCCTACCACCACTCCGCTTTTAAGGATGGAAGTTGTGCGTCTGCAAATAACCACAGGCCAGTGAGACTTGCCTCCATCTCTTTCAAAATCATGAAGGCCATTGAGAAAGCGTTGACGCAGTCCTGCCGCTCCGATGCCCAACACGGCTTTCGAAGTGGTAGATCCTGTCACATGAATCTGCTCTTTTTACTTGAACAAAGCACACGACGAAGGCAATGTTGTGCATCCCATCCATATCGACTTCAAAAAGGCCTTTGACAGCGTTCCTCATCAACATCTTTTGCACAAACTGCGCAACGCAGAAGTTTGTGGATGTCTTTTGTATGGATTCAGAACGTTTTGACTGGATGATCCCATAGAGTGAAGATCGGACGCCACCAATCCTCAGAGTTAAGGGTTGTGAGTGCCGTCCTACAGGATTCATTCCTAGGTCCCTTGTTATTATTCGTTTTTATAAATAATTTTGTCAAGCATCTAGACTGTGATGCCATCCTGTTTGCTGACGACATAACATTGTGGAATGTTATTCGCAATACGACAGACGCAGACCACCTGCAAGCAAATTTTAACATACTCCAGGACTGATCGAAGCGCTGGCTTATGCCATTCAATTTAGACAATTGCAACTTTCTTCAACTCGGTAGTTGCAGAGCCTCCAGCCCCCGGACTTACTTTCTTCATGGCACACCACTGCAACAAGTTAATCGTTGGCAGAGCTTAGGTGTGTGGATTACATCTTCACTTAAACCAACCCTGAACTGCACGCATGTGGCTAAGTTGGCCATGGATATATTGCAGCTCACTAGGCGAGCCTTTATGGGATTTGACACTGACTGCCTTTCCAAAATACCTGGCATCTTTGCGCGCCCTCATATATAATACTCCATACAGATCCTGGACTGTCAAGGACTATACCGTCTTCGAGACGGTCCAGAGACAAACATCCAGTTTG